TATAGTCATTCTATTCTGTTTATATTTATTCTAAATAATAGGCGATATCACTATCACTTAAATTTAAGAGCTATGGGTAACAACCACTCGGGGATCATCTACAACCAAACACAGCGTCAATTAAATTAACCCATGTTGTTATCTACCATTTTTGCTTATCGTTTACCTAAATATTATTTCTTCGAAATTTTTTCCACTTGTTCAAATAAATCAAGAAAATAAATTTCATGTAATATTGTAATATTATAATAAGTATTGTATATTCAATATTGTATTTTAGTTACTATTGCCATTAAGCGTCTACCCGGACTTTTGGCGACTTAAATTAAAGAGGACGCATATACTTACCTTAAATAAGAAGGGGGACTCCGTCCCCCTCCGACCCCTCCCACTTTAACTACTGCTCTCACCTCGAGATGGTATAACATGCTCGTAGATTTTTTAACAGACCCATTAATGATTTTGAAAGATCTGTGTTAGCTGTTTGATATGAGAAACTGTTACAATTTGCATACGTCATCATGAAATGCACGTCCAGCTGACGTTGCACATGAAAACGTGTGTGGCCATAATCGAATGATAAATATCGTCACCAATTTGTCATCACGTGAAATAGGAATATTATAATTTTCATTTCCAGGCATCTAAATTATACCGAACTCATCTGCAGTAATAGGAGACTTGCAGAGCTGTAAAGAAAACTTTTAAAAAGTATTTAAGTAAATACTGAAATACATTTTTTTCAAGTATTTAAGATACTACTCACATACTTCAATTGTATAGTATTTCAAATACTACTCTAATACTTTAAAAAAGTCTATAGAATACTTTTCAAATACTTTTGTAAAAAAATATTTTGAGTAATTAGGCCATGATAAACTCACATTTTGCAGAGAAATAGTCGAAAGAGATGCGTTATGCAGTTCTGAATCACTTTCATCATTATCAGTACGAGTTCTCTGTAAGCCTAACTTACAACAATTAAGTTATTGTATAAAAAAAAAGTTCATAATTATTTATAGTTTGACACACTTATAAGAAATAGAGATTCTAGGATTCTACAAAACTAAATTTACATTTTATAATTATCATGACAGTTAAAAATTGGCAATGTGCAATACTTACCTTAAGTCGGGAATGTTGGTTGTACATAACATAGATACATAACATTCCTGAAAATGTATAGTTAAACTTCCTTATAGGCTGTAACAAATATTTTTAAATATTCGACCGCAGGAGAACAATATTTTAACTATTATTTTATTTCCAACGTCAGATATTCCCTAAGAGGAATTTTAACTTCAACTTTCCATCTAACTGTTCGTAAAAAATATATATTTAACTATAGAGCAAAAATAATATACATATGTTTGTGTGTTAAGAGATTTCATCATATGAGGCTAATATATTTCAACTGTTATTTTTTAAGGCTACCATTTTAGCCACAACTTAGGATTATGATAAACAAAAAAAGGGAAAAGACAATTTATTAGGTACAATATAAAAAAAACATATGAAAGAAAAACACCGTATTCAAAACATCAGTCAATATGGCTGAAATGATATAGCACTACAAAGTCACGAAATTAACTAACTGCATATACTGAATGCCTATGTAAACAACAATTTGTATTCTACTTTTATGGAGGTTGCTATTTTTCTTGGTAAGTTCACTTTTTACATATATAGCTTATAGCTTAAATGAAATTGAATGTAAATAAATTAAAATTAATCTTAACATTTAAAAAAAAAAAATAATTTACTGTATTAATATAAGTGATAATGTTTCAATTTTTCAATGTCATATCGATGCCCCTGAAAAAACTAAACAACTAAAGAATTATAATTGATGTGCATACGGTTTTATTATTTACACTAGAATACAAACTGATAATGTACATATCAATAAATACGTTGATCTGTATAGTTCTGTAATTAAATACTGCCAAATTTTGTTGAACATAAAGGTTTAAATTTAGTGTTTAGTATTAAGTTCAATAATTTGAGGCTATAAAAGGTGTTAAATATGTTTTTCTTGATAGTATTTTTATTTGAAAGTTTCTATGAATTCCAATATATGTATTATTTATTTTGTGATAATATGAATTACATGTATCGATTTATTTAGACTGAATAAATTAATGTATGGTATCAGATGACTGTACCTATATGAGCTTAGGTAAACGCAGGTTAGTCAATCATAATCAAACACGGCAGTGGCGTAGGTAGGATTTTCTGAAGGGGGGTGTTAATTATAATTATTAAATATTATATATAATACGTACAAACTAAAACTTTTATTTTAATTAATTGATATGTATACATAATGTCTATAATAGAGATGTAATGTATATTCGAATTAGGATAGATTTACCATAAATTATTCGAATATTTGACTATTTGAATATCAGTATTCGATGCTACAATACCTATTATTATTATTAAACGTTTTGTGTTGCACGAAAACGTAAACGAATAATTTTCGTCACATATTGTCGCAATCGCGATAATGTTAACCTGTATATATGTAATTAGTATTGTCCGTTATTTTATATTTCATATTGTATTATCGATTTACCTATACTCCTATAATAATGTAATATATGATACGATTCAAGGGGGGTGTCATATCTACCAAACACCCCCCTTGTATACGCCACTGAAACACGATGATCATAATCAAACAAAAAAAATCAGAACTCCGTTCAACTAACTTCGGATTAAAATAATAATTATTATTGGCAACGTTTACTGGTCATGAAATCACGATATAGATCTACATCCTGTAAGAAACGAAAAAATAAAAATAAAACCGTATCCCAAAATAGTCGTTTGTCTATTTTGTTGTCACTTACCATCAGTTATCACAACTGAAGCTCTACTCGCCCACTAAGATAATCAATACGTATTATTATTATTTTTTAATCCACTAAAATAAATGATAGGTATTTTAATTTTATTATTATTATGCAATAGGTAACTAATAAGCTATAGATAATAATAATAATTATTTGGTAAAATAAAACCCCATAACATATATATGTAGGAATAAATTTTTTTTTAAATGGAAAAAAAAAACAATAGAATCCTTAATCATGACAAATAGTTTTTTATTAACAAAGGACAAAGACTCCTCTAGACTGAATTGTTAGTCGAACAAAGATGTGTTTGGATAAAACTGTTCGATAATTTCATAATTTTATTTTCTTGGTGAAAGAAATTAGACAATGTCACAGAGATTGAATATAATTAATATAATATTATTATACATACTATACCAAATTTTTAACAGTAATCGATAAATAGGTATGTCTGCAACGTCAAACGTGATTGAACTATGTAACTGAAGTCTGCTTTGTATTTGCTGCACACAATCTGTACAATGGGTTTGTATAATATACAATATGTACAGGTTAAAAATTAATTAACGTATTTGGAAAAAAGTAATTCTGTATGGAAATTACTTATATTTGTAAACTAAATACTTGGTTGTTTTCACGAGTTTCTATCATATTTAATTCTATCAAGTTATTTTTTTCTCAGATATAAAACTATAAATAAATAATTAAAATAAACACGTAAATACATATTTATAATTTTAACTATTTAACTGTTATAATTTAATATTAAATTATGAAACTAAAAATAAAAACTGGTGCACAATTAATAACTACAAAGAACTTCTTAAATTTAAAATTTAAAGGTTAATTAAAATAATAATGATATCTTTATATTTCAACTGCTTATCCAAAAATATTGTAAAAAAAATGTATTACGTTCAATGCATTTAAGATAACCACAGTAAAACTCGATTCAAAATTATAATTTTTCATAATGGTAAATCAAACATTTTTTTTTATTTATGAAAATTTTAAATTTTGTTTATAGTAAAAGAAGTTATAAAATAAAAGGACTTCGAAAAATGAATTTTGACAATACCACCAAAAAAAATCTGTAAAATCTATATGTACCACTTACATAAAATCATGTTTAATCATTCAATAATTTTTATTCTGAATAACTTCAATCAACAATTGCTTTCATTAATTAACTGTTGCATTTTGAAAATGTATTGAACACGTGTTATACATATTCATAATATAATATACTATAGGATAGATAACACAGTTACAAAGGATGCATAAGAATCAATGAGTTTAAATAGAAACTTTCAAAGAATTAAAAAAAAAATAATTATTATAATTCTCATATATTATAAATGTCATATGATACCTTTTGTATCTTGCAATATATTGATATAAAATTGATTATAAAATTAATATTTAAAAATACAAAATATCTTAAAATTATCATTAATTAAAATAAAGGAGGAGATTCTTTAATTTATGTTACAGAATTATAGTAAAGATATATATAATAATATATTCTAGCCAATAATATATAGAACATAAAAGTACACAAAGTTAAACATTGAAATAAAAATCCTTTATATGTACACAATTGTTAAGCTTCATTTGGACAAACAACATAATATCACAATTCGGTCCAAAACATTTTTTATAAAATTGATAAAAAAATGTTATAAAATATAAAAAATATTTATATAAATATTATTTGAATGTATATTATAATAATTATATTTTATATACTATTATATATGGAGCTGTAATGAATTAAAACAGCATATAAAGTATTATTCTTAGAAAATAAATGTGAACATTAATAATGTACCTACATTCCCTCCTCAAATGGAAGTAAAAATAAGTAAGGGATATTGATTTTTATCGCTTAAAGACCAAGAGTATACAATTAAATATGTATAGTATAGAACAAAATGGCACAATTAAAAAATTATTTTATTGATGTATTTGAAGATTAAAAACAAATAAATAAATACACCTCCAGTACAATTGCTTTTATAAAAATTTAACAGATGTATTGAACTATGACATCTTGTAAGTCAAAATAAAAATACAACAAGAATTTTTAAAAATGCTCCAGAAAATAATTGTTTTTTTTTTTTGTTTTTTTTTATTAAATCACATGGTACTTTATTACATAATATAATGGTTAAATTATAGTTACTTATTTATAACTAAGAAATAAAAATTGCAAAGCATGGGAAACCACTCCATTACATTATTGTACATTCACAGCACTGCATTGCAAAGTACAAACACTCCATACCACAGCTAGTTTTATCAACATCGTCATCAACAGGGTGTTCCTTAACAATACCATTAGAAGGTTTGCCTGCAGCACCCGGATGTTTACCATCACCATTGCTCATGTTGAGGTAACCATCTGTATCGTCCTTGGTGATCATTGGTTGATTAAATTCATGAAGTTCAATTGGAGATTCCTCACTGTCTCGTTTAGCAGAATCAGCACTGTTCAGACTATCCACAGAGGAGTTATCACCACCATTGGCCAATAATTTTTGGTTAGTAACGCCAATGTTGGCATTTCGATACTGTTGAAAATAACATTATGGTATTACAATCATTACTACAGATTAAATACTAAGTTATATATATATATATTAAGTATAGTATCAATGTAAAACAAAGCTAGTCAAAAAATATTCAAAATAATAATTTTCTGGTGTAAAGATATGAAGCTTTTATCATTTCCCATTAAACTATCTAATTAAAAACTTCACAAATTTGTTTATTTCTTACCAAAATAAAGTTTTCTATTATGACTATAATCACGTATGCACCCTCACCCCTAAACTTTAAGTTTTAGAAAATGTTCTTGAGTTGATCTATTAGTATAGTCATTATAACACAAGATTCAATATTTTTTTTAAATCGTACATAGGATATCTTAAAATATATTTTTAATTACACCTCCTGATGCATAATATTTTATTGAAATTTTCGACACAAAAATCGAACACCGAACCAATTATTTATAGGTATTTAAGTTCTTTTTTCATGAATGAAGTGAATTAACAGGCAAAATATTATTGCGCTACTTTACATTTCAAAACTTTTAAATAGGTAACCAATTGTTAGTTTGATATTATGGTGCCTACTGAAAAGTATTGTTTCGGTTTACAAAGTTAAAAATAAGTTGTTACCAAGTCTAAATAAAATAATGAGAAACATAGAACTTTACGTTAATAGTTGTCAAGTAGTAGTAATTCAGTGATTGACCAAAATATTCCTTCGTAACGTAAAAAGAGCAGTTTTCAAAACTTGCACAACGAAAAAAAAAACCAATATCCAACCGTTATTGAATCAAGATGAAAAACGATGATGTTTGGTTTAAACCGTTTATAATTTTTCTCGGAACCTGGTTGGAGAACCTTTCAGTCTCTGTTCCCTACGACCGCACGGACTACAATCCATTTCGGTGCGAACGGTGCAGTGTTCACCGAACGGACGGAAAATGTACCTACAGTAACGTTATCTCGATATCTACAGGCACAACCAGGATTCTATTTGAGGCCAAAGTTTTATTTTATGGTAAATGACCCATAATTTCAACTTGTATCCGTACCTATTATGCGAAGGATAGATCAATATTTTATGGTCGGAGAGCGGGGGGCTAAGCCTAATTGTGCCCATACGGAAGTCGGAAAAACGGGAACCCCGACCCTACCCACGCGGGCGTGCTCGTTGTACGCGTAATGATGGCGGGCACTGACCAGCTCGTTGTTGGTCGGATCGTTGCTGGTCGATGGAGGAGCTGTTCCGGCGGCGACGTCCGCTTCCGCGGCGTTGGCCTGCGTACCCCGGTCCATTGTCTGCGGCCGATTGTTGACGTTCTCCAGGAGCAGGCGGCCCGGTCGAGGGTTCTGCCGGGGATGGAGCACGGACGCTACGACCGGGTCCGACGGCGGTTGCACGTGATGGTTAAGCAGACCCGAGGGTACGGTCGAGGCGGCGACGACGGCGGCCGCGGCCGCGGTGGTGATAGCGGTCGACGACGAAGGCCTGGTGTCCGTGTCGATCAACCTGCGGCAAACACGGGAAAAAAGTGATTAGACGACGGATATTAGTGACGGCTGAGTGCTCTGAGGGGCAGTGTACCTAAGAACCGGCGACATGGCTGAGGTTGTGGACTTAGTAGCGTTTCTCTCGCGGTCGTATTCCGTCGACAGCACGTAAACTAACAGTTGCAGCACGCGGAGGAACACGACCGTTTCGTCGTACCCCATGGCAATACAAATAAATAACAACAGTAAAAAAGTGTTGACGAGAGAGAGAGAGAAAACTTTTCTGTTACCAAGTTCACCACGTTGCGTTGACCGTGCACGCACGCACACGAGAGACTGGCTAAATCGTTACCACAGTACCCGCGCGTAAGTCGTGCCGGAGGAACACACTGTGTTGCGACTAATAAATATCGCGAGACCGACCCGTCCGGCTCGAGCGGCGAAAACGCCGAGACGACGGATTTGCGTTTTTTTTTTCCTTTCTTTATCGTTTCGTCCCCCACCCCGAGTGCGGCAGTCATGAGGATTGCTGCTCGGTGTAGGAGTTTTGTTAATAGTCCGTATTGTACGGGGCAGCAACGAACGGATATCGCCACCGACGTGCGGTTTCGGATTTCAGAGATTACATTTCGCTACTCGACTGGCTCTCACAGCGCTTACAGATCGTTTTCGACGCGGTGAATAACGTTCGATTCACACGCGAATTCGAAAGAGGAAGTATAAATAAGAAAAAATAACGCCGATTTAGCGAATCGGAATAAACGAACGGCTCCGCGAACACAAAGATCTGCGGTGTGTTATGATAACGTTATCGAACACGGTTGGCATATTTATGGAATGCGTACATTTTGTTTCGAATTTCCATGTTGTTGGCGTCTCGGCACAGACTCGAAGACACGTGTATTCAGTGGCGAATACGGGGGGGATTTCCCCCCCTACCATTGGGCCGTATTTTTTACGTTATTTTTATATTATAAAATTGGGCTGAAAACGGATATTTTAATTTTTTTGATATTACTAATAATTACACATAAAGCATTAATTATGACTTATGATGGGCCTCTGTATAACTATTTTCCATTTTTTTTTCCCCATTCTGCGTTATGATTCTTCCTGACCTGATAATGATCATAACAGTGTAGAAACGGCACTTCTCCAATGCGCGCTACTAGTGTTGTTATCAACTTATCGCCATCATCATCTTATCACAATTTTAAATGGGTTGTGCTGATTATACTAATTATAATATTTTATTTTTATGTAGGTATTTTTATTAGTTTTCTAAAAAAAAAAAATAGTTTTAAAATAGTTTATAGTTCTTATGCTAAATACTTATTAATTTATCGACTAACGAAAAATACCTACAACACGTCATTACCGTTAGTCGTTGCTTTTTAGTTTTTAGTTTATATTCTCACAATTAATACAGATTTGCCAAGGAGAAAAAAAGATGTATCAATATGATTTTATAGATATTATGTAATATTGTGTTGATTGTATGATAAAATCATGATAAGTAATAACAGTATATAGTTTATAATTTTGTAAATTAATAAATAGTAAAAATAAATTACTTTTATTTATTTATTTATTTATTGTTTATTTAGTTTATTAATTTCATATTTATTTAGTTTCATAGGTGAAATAATGAAAATCATTTTAGCCTCTAATAAACTATAGGTTATATAAAAAAGGTCATTTAATTTTTGAAAATTCGATCCTCCCCCTTGTGTGACCTCTGGATCCGCTACTGCGTGTAGATGGTCTTCCAGTTCGGTAAACACTTATATGTTATAGCACACTATGCACTGCCGTCGGGTGCATGGACATACTTAAGGGGGATACCATCCTACCCAACGGCCTTTTTTTCTTTTTTTTCGATCAATTTGTATTAAATCTGTAAGGTATGTAATGTCTTATCGTAAACTTTTATTTTCAAATACAATATAGTGATTTTTGTCCACCCCAGTATATTTGTTCCACAAAAAAAAAAGTTAACTATAATAATTTACTGATAACAGTTAGTGATAACCCACCTCTCATTGAAATTTCCTGAAAACAACGCCACTGGTCGTGTGTAACACGATATTTCATTATTACACTATAACGCGCGCTATTATGACAGATATACGATATTGAATAATTATATTATTGGTACGAGGTAATGCTGAAAACTAAAAATGTTGGCTCATGCCTGATCGCTTTACGATTTATTGTATTATCCAAATACGTTGGTGCGTTGACCATGATTCAATACCTAGTAAATTAGTTCTAGTTCAACTAATTGGATTATTTTTGTCATGAATTTTTAGTGATATACAAACAACCTCCAATAAAATTAAACCATAGAACACAAAAAATATTCAGCAAATGCTTTTCGTGTTTCCATCAAATTAAATCAGTAGTTTTACCTAATATTATTCAAATCGTAGTCCAAACCGTAATACGTATATATTATGTGATACCATTGTTGTTATAAAAATATTCAATGTACACACATTTACATTGAACTGATTTGTATTTAATATGATGCGTCAGTTTAACATGATCAGTACTACGTATAGCCGTATAAGTATTTGATACATTATAAATCTATTTGAATCAAGTTCACTTAAAATTATCAAGATTTTACTTTTTAATTTTTAGTTATTAGTGTGTTTACTTATTAATTATTTTTAATGATTATTTGATATTTCAGAATAAAATGACATATCACAACAATTGTAAAAAACAAGATTTATCAATGTATCGTATCTAATTTAAACCAAAAAAAAATATCAAATTAGCCAACAAAACAACTAATTTATAATTTATAAATAATGTACATTTTAAATTTGAAGAATATAACTGCGATCTGATAAAATAATTAAAAAGTGTCCAATAAAATATACTTTATTGTTTCAACAGTAAATAATAAATTATTTTGGCCTAAAAAACAGTCAAAAGTTGTGGATGCCGTCTTTATTCTTGTGAATATTTTTTAATTCCTATGTATTTCTATACGCATATCAAATTAGTACTACTGAAACAAATTATGCGGGTTTACCCTTCAAATTTAATTCATGAAATAAATTATCATCGATCCATGTGACTCGTTAAAAATTATTTAGAAGATGTTATGATATAAGTACACTACGCAGCACATCAGAGAAAATTTTAAACGAAACAGTATCAACAAAAATAACATATAAAAATTACACTTTCAAATCTACTTAGAAACAGCCTCGTTTAAATGCATAGTTACAATAATTTTCGAGTACCAAGTATAATTATATGAGGTGCCTGAACTAAATCTATAACTTAATTAAAGGAAAAACTTAAACAAACGAATAAATGTTTCAATACATTTCCTTCTGTTACGGTTACTAGTACTTAAACTGTAACTAAACTAAATAAATCGTGATTAAGCTCAAGTATAGTTTACTATAATACGCTTAGGATTAAAATATTTTAAAAATGTGTGTAATATTTTAGATAATGTATATCGGAAAGCGTAATTAGATTATAAATATTTTTTTAATAGCAAATAAATTAAATTCTTAAAGAGCATCAATGTATTTTACATTGTCTACAGATCACCACCAACAATTAATTTCTTTAAAACAAGATACTAAAACTTTTTTAGTAGTTAGTCCGTAATAGTAAAAATTCTTGTAACTTTCTACATTCATAATCTAAGAATCGAATTTAATGCAGTTAATATTTAAAAAATGAAATACTTGGAAGAAATACAAAAGTGTATTTTTATTAAAAAAAATAATATAAAATTTAAATAGATAAATGTAAACTTCTCTAATTTCATATATTTATCTAATATATTCATTTATTCCGTTGTATGTTTAAATATTATAATTTTTCAAAAACGTAGTTGCATTAAATCTAATTTTTTTTTTTTTTTAGTTGATCGTATCTGAGAAATTATAGCCATTTATGAATTTCTTTATATAGTCATTTGTAAAAATGTTTCAGTCATATTGTAGATACTGTTTTTATTAATTACCAATAAGCTTCAAATGTTGCAAGGGCAAACATAAATGTAATCACACAACTATTATAACGTATAATTTTAACTTAATTATAGTACAATAATATTTAAAAAAAATCAACGATAGTCATTGTTTGAAGATCATACGATAAAAAAATGTTTCAGTTGACAAAAACAATTAATCGATTGTTCATACTTTTTTTTACGACAAGAAACGTTTTGTAAAATAATATAACTTAGAACACAAATCAACGAAGATTTGTGCCGCATAAAATAAACATTTTTTACACACATAATAAAATACGATAAACAAATAACAATTCACATCTTATTAACGTACACTCAGAATATATTACCCAAGACGTAATAATCGTTCATAAAATTGTAAAAAAAATATCCTGGGTCAGCCGTTCTCACGATAGGGACGATAACCCCCTTCCAGTGATGGAAGAATCATTTGAAGTGACATTTTACAATAAGACCTCTTTGATTTTAGTCTGGACGATCGAGTCATGTCTTATTTATTTATCAGTGTGCGCACAGTCCTCGAGCTAAATTTAGTTAATTCAGTTTAATGTAAATAGTTAGTGTTTGCGAAAAACATAATAATCCATAATATATCATATAAAAAATCAGAAATTTTCGACATCATGTTGAGTATTGATTTTACAGTGATTAGTTCTAAAGTTTGCCAGATCACACTCACTAGGAACAGTACAGGTTCTCAACACACAGGTATGTGAGCTTAATTAATCAAAGTGTTAGTTTATCTTTTTAAAATCAATTAAAACAATTATTTGGTTGAAATATAGAAACAGCAAAAAATATATATACACATACATAAACAATTTAATTCAATCTTAACATTGGTAGTAAAGGGTAACACATCCTACATTCTTTAACTCCGTCTTCTGTTTCTGGACAACGCAAGATTATTATTGTACGATTTAAACTAGCCATATTTATTTTTTCAGTCAATGTTGATACTCTTTCACTAGTCATTTTTATATATTAACTAATGATAAATTTCAAAT